CCACCGTTCACTTTCGAATCATCACCACCACGCCCCGCAAATGCATCATCCTCATACCCCGACAGACTCTGTGGAATCAAAATGGAACTTGTAAGTGCATTTCTTCGTTTGGAAAGTTTGGAAAAAATTTCTTAGATGAATTGCATGCTATTGCTTTTATATAGCAAAACTTCCCACCCCATTTCGCACCGACTTTACCGTCTGTGTTTATAGTTTACGGAAGTTTTTCATGTAATATAGCCCGATCGCTCGTGTAACGAACGACCTGCGTGGAGAGGGGAGGGCATAACTTCGTATTAAAGGTTGAAGAGAAAATAATGAAACAGAAAAGATGAAGAACGGATAAAGAGCGAAGTAAGAGGGGGAAAGGGGACTAAGGAAATATTTGTACTAGGCAAGAAATGCTTCGGTCCATTAAGATGGCTTTGACAGGTAAGAAATGTATGATGGCTTTGACAGGTAAGAAATGAAAGTAGTACATAATAGAAGTGAGCGGATGGCATTATATCTTAGTTTCAAAATTTACCGCACGGCGTTTTTTTTTTCTTTTTTTTGCAGCGAAATTGGCCCTAAAAAAGTTGCTTACTTTTATAGGGGACAACAGATTCATTGTGGAAAAATGTTGATGCAACAACATCTTCTGATTACATTATGCCGGATCTTCGAACCTTTCAACAAAATGCAGCTTCTGATAACAGAAATAACACTAATTTTCTAACGGTATTTACTTTGACGCTTTAGTCAATTGTTATTTGATCGTCGCTTTTCACCTCTTTGGTATAGCCGCCAAAATTTTCATGGGCCATACGTGATGCTCATACGCACGGGAAGGCTGAATTTAAATTTGAGGAGTCGCTTGTGAGCGGGGACACTGCTGTAAAATTTCAGCTTCCTAGCTTTCGTGATTCCCGAGATAATAATTTTCCCGACTTCCTGAGCAAAAAAAGGAGAGATAATAATTTTTCCAACTTTTTTTCCTCATTTTGTGTTGCATTTTATACTGCAGTATAGTGAAATTGAAAAATTTCACTTTCACAGTTGCTGCTATGCTGGTGTTTGAGAGATCAACGCGTAACCTGTTGAAGATTATTTATCGTGGTTTTTTTCTTCAGCCGAAGATCCGAACCTAACGTTATCTCTATCGTTTTTCCCAAATAGGTATAGCTACCCACATGCTTAGCTTCTCCGTACTCTTATCAAAGTGTAGCTAGGGCAAATTTTCCCGCTTTTTCTTCCTTTCCTGGAACTGGATTTCAATTTCCTTCGCATTGGAATTCCAAGCTCATTGAACAGATCTGTAGTGCTTGTAAGTTTTCTGCGATGAGTATTGCATTATCTGCGAAAATAAGTAGAAAAACCTCACCTTTGAAACGAATTTCTGTTCTTTTCGTTGTGATGAAAATATAAATCGTTGTTCCCGGAGGGAGGGGGGAGGCGAGATTTAACGGGGCTGGAGGAGGGCCTAATTAACCCAGAAGACAAAGGATGACATTTTTTAGTGTTGTCTTGATCAGATATTGTTTCATCGCTATGCATCTTCATGCCAATCAGTGGAGCTGGGAGCGTTTCTACGCCCCAAATTTTACCGCATTTTGGTTGATGGCCCCCCGGTTTTCGTGTTTTTGCGGGAAAAAATACCCGATGATTGGCATTCCTCCATTAGTTTTGTGATTGGCCAGTTCACCTTTTAGAGGATTGCTTGTTCCCTCCCCCCCAACCCTCACCCCCCGCATCCCTTACCCTTTCCCTCCTTCCAACTCATTCCCCTTTTTAGTGCTTGTCTTTCCTGTAGGAGAAAATACGCTGGAAATCAGATACGTGGGTAAAGCATTTTTTTTTCAGAATTATAATTTTTCACCGGGAAAATGGCCCAATTCGAAGTTGCAGGAAAGCCCAATTAAAAGTGATCTTATTCGTACGCTGGCAGCGACATCGAACAATGCTGAAAAGAATCACGTGAACAAGCATTTGAAACCAACGGCACCATCTTTACCGCTGCTACCACATGGTAAGTTTTGTTGATAGTTTTGGGGTAAAATGTTGTTCCCTCGGCTCGGCTTTTCGAATATATTACAAGTCTGGATTTCATAGCCCCACCGCACGATCTTTAGGTTTGGAATTGAAGACAATGAGCTGAGTTATTATTTTAGAATGTCTATAAGTGTTCATTAAACGATTTGTACTAGCCGGAGGTATACAGCTGAAGATTGAAGGCCTTTGCTTAGCTGTGGCAGCATTCAACTTTTATTATTATTATTATTA